CTTTCGAACATTCTGACCCAGATCCCAGTTAAAAACAAGCTGCAGACTGAGATTCACTGCAACCTCTCTTTCTCTCCCACCTCCACTTACAAAACAACTTCCAGAAATAGCAATGTTTCCCCCACCTCCAAAAAAGTCAGGGCACTCAGCAATGAAGCCCTGGTGATATGAGCCTACTGAGAATGAGGTGAGAACCGCTTACAGATCCTGGATCCACCCTCTGAAATAAAATCGTGTAGCAACACATATGTAATACCATTCATAGACTACACAGGACACATCTCAGAGACTTATTTTCCAATTTTGGCTGCCCGAGAGGCCCAGATCTCAGTGGCTTAGATGAACTTCTCGTGACAACTTGGAAAGATGATCCCTTCCCTTCCCTTAATCCCTTTCCCTAATCCCCCTGCTCTTTCGCTTTTTAATCTAGGGAAAGTGCAAATTCAAACAGCTGGAGAAAGACAGTTTTCCCTTCTCTCTCACTTGCACAATCCCTTGCACCACCCGGTATCCTTAAGCCAACTCACACCCGACTCTCCAACCAGTTGTGCAAATGTTCCCCAAATCAGGGTCAATGTTGACAATCGAGCAAGGGAGACAAACATTTCCAACCCACCCAGGAGAGAAGGAGGTTGGCAGTTCTTGCAGACAAAAGATCCAGGTGTTTTCAGAGGCCTCTCGCAGTTTTCCAAGCAAGAGTGACAAACACAAAGAGAGAGAGAGAGATAGGCACCCCTTCCCCTCCAGAACGCAACCCCCAACCCCAAACGGGTTTAAGGAAGAAAGCAGAGGAGGAAGGCAGGAGGAGAAAGAAACGAGAAAGAAAACCAGGCAGACGGCAAAGAAATTCCAGGCACGCCAGCGTCAAGATGGCGTAGAAACAGCAGGCCTCTGGAGAGGAAAAACACCCACTCTTCTTTCTCTCTTGCGCACCCCATTCTCTGAACCCCAAACCGTTGAGTTCCCAAAGGACAAAAAAGAAGCAGCATTTTCCTAACAGGTCGAAAATACTGCTCTTGCTGGTGGCTTAGAAAAGCAGCCATCAACTCCCCCGCCCCCTGATCAAGACTCCCCCGACTCACAACAATACCTGTTTTTTCTTTGATTTCACAAAGGACGGTGAAGAGAGCCGGTTTCATGCGGTGACAATTCAGCGTGTGTTTCCTGCAGTTGAAACAGTGGAAGAAAGAGAGCAGATAAAGCCATATGGTTCCTTTTCTGTCGGTTCAAGAAAAGGAGAGAATTTTTGTGTCCACCATCACTCGTAGGCCTCCCTCTCGGCTGAATTAATCCGTTTCCACGTCTAGCAGAGTTTCTCCCCACCCCCCAAGCAATTCCCAATGTAATTCCAACATCCGGATTTCCCAGCAATGAAAAAAAACAAAAACCACATGCATTTCCTTCCATTATGGAACGGTTTGTCTAAATGATGAGATACGTTCCATGGGCAGAGAAACCAGAAAAGTTTTTCTTCCAAGAACTTTTTCATAATAACCACAAAATAATAAACTCTATATTCATCGCCAGCACAGTCTATACAGAGGAGCAGTAAAATCCGAAGACTGTGTTGTAGCAGCTTTGATATTTTTATCCATTTTTCTTTCTGATTTAATTCAGAGTATGTATGTATGTATGTATGTATGTANCTATTAGTATTATTATTTGCTTTGCGGCGCCCCGCAGCATCGTCCTTTTCGAGGAGCGAGAGACGCGGCGGCAGCAGCGGAGGTTACCGCTTCGCCAGCACGCGGCCAAATTTCACACGCAGCTGAGGAGCCCGCCGAGTTTTTAAATGGTCCCCGCCTCTCGGGGAGAGAGAGAGGGGGGGGGAGAGAGGCCTCCCGGCCAATCCGAGGGACGGTTTTCGTAGTATCCAATGAACGGGCGAGGTGGGCGGGGAGAAGGAGGGACTCTCCGCGGCTCCGGCTCAGCAGGATTTGGGCGGGAAAGGGCGCGCGCCGGCGCTCGCATCCAGCGCGCACGCGTGGTTTCCTTCCGTCCCCGTCCGGGGGTCCGGCTCATCACGGCCACGTGCAGCCTTCCCGCGCGTTTCCCTGTGCACAGGAAGTCGGAGTAGGGTTGGGGGCTTTTGCCTCCCCCGCTGCAAAGGCCCACCTTTCGAAGTTATTCTCCATTATTTCTGCCTTTTTTTTGTTTTTAAGCATTGAGAGATCAGAGGATGACTTGGGCTTATACTGGGGATGTTTTGGATTACAAGTCCCATCAGCTACCCCACCTCGGGGTGGGGGCGTGGATAGGGAACATACCTTCCTGCAATGGAGCTCCCCCCCCCGTTGAGCAGGTTTCCCTCCTGATTAAAATGCTTTTATTAAAAAAAACCTGAAAATGTAATAATTACAAAAACCCTCCCCATAACCCCCCCCTTAAAGGCCAGGTGATGGGAACTGTAGTCCAAAGCATCTCCAAAATTCAACCCCTTTTTCTGTTTTTTTTTTTTTTCATCTTCACCCTGTTACAATCCCACCAGGAAGCCCTTGAGTTATATTTTGTGGTGCAAATATTGAATTTGTTGTTTTTCCAGTTTTGTTTTTTAAGGAAAAAAAATCCCCAGACTGTCTTGTTTTGCTTTCTAGGGATTCTGCTTAAATATAATAGTTTTTGATACACGGGTGTCCTGCCCTGGGAAACAAATTGAACCCAAATTCGAAACTATTTCTCCCTTTTTCTATTATAGGAACTCTTTCCCACCCCCTAGTCCCCAAATCCCAGTTAAATGTTTTCAAAAGAGGTACTTGTCCCAAACATGCAAAATAATAAATTGGCTGGATTGCATTTCTTCATGGTTTAAATGTGGTTTATGGAATGAACCAGGTTTTCTACCCTTAAATGACACTGAACTGTAAATTACCCATACAAGCTACTTTCGCGGAGCACCCTGAAGTGGACAAACCCAGCTATGGAGAAAACTGGCTGTTTTCTACTTTGTGGGTTAGAACAAAGTTGCAATGGGGAAACTCTGATCTTTTGGGATATTGCATTACGCAGACTGAAGGTTGGGGACTCACAGCTTAGGAGATCTAGGCAAGGGGCAGCTTTTTTAAAAAAGGGCTTACAAAATCTAACAAACCCACCATACGATCAAAATCCCACTCCATTTCCCACGGCAGCAGCAATCTACCCAAGTTGAACTTTTAATGAAGTCCCTTTCAACAATTCCACCATGTTGCGCCCTCCAGACAGGGTAGGACAAGTGACCTTCAGAATTAAATCAACTGGCTTGGCTTTTCTTTATTCACAAAAATATTCCAGAACGTTCAACAAAGAGATGAATACCTTCTTGTTACTGCTTCACAAAGCCATTTTATTTGGATGGCTGGAGGAAAAAGAACATTTTTGCGAGTGATGGCAGAGACCCCCAACATTAAAATGTTCTCAGAAATTCTGTCCCTT